TCATCGCATACTTTCGGGCCAAATTGGTTGGCTAACAAGTTCGGAAATAGTTGGTCCAAATCCGTTTGAAGTGGTCATCAAAGAGGCCATAAGTTAACCAACTCGTAGCTGTTACTCGAAAAGCCAAATTTATGCGACATATGGTTTAAAATGACCTTTGGAAATAAATATGAATAATTAGTATAGAAATCCTTAAATACTTCAAAATAATGTTATATAATTAGCAAACTGAGTTAACAATGACATTTAGAAAATAATAAATAGTTTGTAAATCCTTAAATATTTTAAATAATTTTAAATTATCAGCAAACTGAGTTAATTTATTTCTTCTTTATATATCCCAGCAATTTCCCTTTGTTATTCCAGTTTGGTGATAAAAAATTAAGGCAAAAATTACATTTCCTCCAAATGACTTTCTCCCGAGCAGATTTTTCGCAATGACAAAGTTTCCGCATTAGCAAACAGAAACTGTGGCATACATTTGGCTGCTTCATTACCCACCTTGCCGAAATCTGGGATATCAGGCCCGATTTTCCCTTTTCCCGGCTCTTTATTGTTGTTCTCCCTTGTTTTTTATATTTTCGCTTGTATGATTTTGCGGCTCATTTGGTTTTATGAAAATTTTCACGTTTTTCACGCTTATCAAACGCTCACGAGCTTTGATTGTGGCCCATCGCTCTGCTGTATTCGGTATCCTGCATCCTGGATCCTGAATCCTGAGTCCTCTTCCCCAGCCCCGTCGACAGCCAAGCATTTTACATCCCGAACACAGACATCATCCCTTATGGGCGCCCTTACTTTTATGCTAATTTCCCAAAAACCGAAATGAATAAATGTCTTTTCTGGTCCGTGTGCCGCGCCCGCTGCCTTTTTCGTTGCTTTTATTATTGTTATGGAAATTTTTATAGTTTCCCCATCATTTAGTTGCCCACACACAGAAAGGCGAACAATGTCTAAACGCTTTTTCAATTCAAAAGTTCCCCAAACATTTTTAGCATGGCGGCAACCTTTTTGTGTGTGCGGCCAAAGTTGAACATTTATTTTAAATACACACAGCTGTGTGCAAAACAATAGCAGTGTTTGCTTGTGTTTTTCAGTGCAAACAAAAATGCTTTCGAAGCGTTTGCACAAAAGTTTTTAATAACTACTAACGTTTGGATAATGCTATTTACTGAATGGGGGATAAGTCGAATATTATTAGCTTTTAGCATAGAAAGAAATCATATATCTAGAATTTAATATTTTTTTACAATATTATATCCAATTATATCTCAAAATAAAATTGTTAAACATATACATGAATGGTACTAATATCTTGCTCATATCTGTAGGGTCTACGGGAAAACACCCGTCCCAATTTCGCTGTCATTTGTTCTAACAGAATTGTATGCAATAAATAAAAATTACACGTTCAACAATTTCTATCTGGGCCTCTGATCTGCTTTCAACAATGGCCGGTAGGGTTGCCACCCTCACTTCGTGCCTCAAACCCCCGTCCATTTTATTTTTTTGCCTCCCGCCCTTTGTGGCCTTCTAATTGGATATGTTCGACGTTCGTCTTTGACTTTGGCTTTTGACTTGACTCCGACGACTTTCCCGGCCAGACAACGACCGAATTCCTTTCGAGGATAAGCCAAGAATGGAGGAAGGGAAAGAAAAATGTCGCTGGCAACTCTTTTTTTGTGCTGCCGCAACCCTGCCGGGGCAATCAGAACTTATGTTTACCCCAATTAAGGTGAACACGAGACCGTTTTTGCGATCCAATGAGTTAGAAACAAGATAAAGGACCCCAAGTCCGGACAATAAGCCCAGGCTCTGCGCTATCCACCCATCCCCGCTCCTTGGGATCCCACGTTTCAGGACCCAGGACCCGGGACCCTGCGCCTGCCTCTGGTCACACTGGAAAAAATCTAATTGGAACTTGGCCTATGAGAAATTTGTCCTTGTAATTCCCAAACAGTTTTTCAACTTTTGTGCATTTATATCTGAAGTATTTTTTAAGGTATTTTTCAATAGCAAAGCTTAGCAAGTAAATAGTTCCCATATTTGCGGATTTAATAATAATGTAAAATTAATAATCTTTGAATTATAAATTGAATCGCATTTAAATCTGACAATCAGCTATAATTAAATGTACTAAAAATGCATATATGGTGGCTAGATTTTTTGTACAGTGCATGTTTGCCGCCTGCTGCCATGCATGTTTATGTGTCCTCGTCCTTCTCACAACAATGCTTCGGGATCGGCCAGGGACGGTGAAGAAAACGGAGTGAAAGGGGGGAGGCTCGAAGGACCAGCTCTGAATGCCGGAGCAATGATTAAAAATTGTGCAAGCGTGTGGCGGCCAGCGATGTCGATTGCGGTTCAACTTTCAGTCGCAAAACTGTGGCAGCTCTTCGAGAGGCAAAATCGAAGGTCGGGGTTGAAAAGGGGGGCGGCCAGAAAGAATCCCCCCCCTTCAGCACACACAGAAAAACGCAGAGAGAGGCTCTGGCAAGTCGCAAAATCCAAAAACCAAAGTCGTACGCTTTTATTGTCATTTGTATGCGTGCTGCGTGGAAAAGGGGCGGGGCAGGGGCGTCGTTGGTCGAATGGGCCTCCAAGGGGGGCTTTAAACGGGGGCTAAAAGGGGGGTTTAGGCGCCCTAAGCCCGCCACTTGAGATGACAGCGTGAGGCAAGCCGAAAGGGAAAATCCCGAGGGCTCAGCAAAAGTGCAGCTAAAAAATTCGGAGAATTGAACGATAAAATGTGAAGTGATCATAAAAAGTATCAACAGGAAGAAGCATATTCATGGGATAAGATATAACCAAAGAAATTTCTTCCTAACAAATTTACATCTTTTATTCTGACTAGATATATTTAGGAAAATATCAGGATGTTAAGCTACTAAAATTAAAAAATATATTTGTTTCAAAATAACTTAAAAGGCCAACCTTAACCAACTTTAAGCCAATAACCTGTCTAAACTTTAAGATCTCCCCCCGTGATTCACGCGGGTTGCTCGAGAGTTCCGCTTCCACTTGGGACTGGAGGCCTTAACCCTTTCCTGCCGGCCGATAACTTGCAGTGAACACGATTCCCCGATTCGGCCTCAAAATACTCATTAGCCATAACGACCACCCCGCAGGGGGAGGGGGGCTATATCCGGGGGATATAGTTGGGCTTATGGGGTTGAGAAAGGCGGGGAGGGGGACAGGACTCGGGACAGGACATGCCGGCTGTGTCGATGTCCATGTCTATCTATTGTCAACCATCAGCCACGCATGCAGCGCAGGATCAAAGGAGAAAGGAGCCAAAACCTGGAGCCCGGCGTCCCAGTTGCTCTGTTTTGTTTTCGGCTGGACGCTGCCAGCCAATCCCTTCTACACCGAGAAAAGGAATTACAGTGCAGCAAAAAAGGATACTTTCCTTGGTCCTTGAAATGCACAAAAAGAAAAAAGGCCAAGCAATCAAAAATATTATATGATATGTTCATGATTATATGATATGAAATGGTTTAAAGGTTTACTGATTTATATTAATATCTGTATTAATAAAAATGTTCATGTCTGTTAAATCCTTGATTTAAAAAAAACGAAATTCGGCTGTAAAAATTCTAAGCCCATCATAAACGACTTAAATTGTAAAATCGTTTTATTTTAGTTATAATATAAAATAGTTTTTAAAAGTATTTCACTTTAGAAATCGAAAATAAAATATAACAATGGAATAAAAAAAATATTAGAAATATTGGCAGGAATACTAGTTTTTTACCCAAACAAGCTTCAACCAATAAATCAATTTTCTCCCAGTGTAGATAGAACCCGGAGACGTGGCCTATCTGCGCCTTTCCACTATTTACACTCGGCTCATTTTATCTAGTTCGATTGGCAATTTATCTGGAAACGCTTTGTCTGTGCTTACCTTTATAATTGGAGAGGCGAAATATCGGTTTTTGAATCTTAATTTCTGTGAGGGCAGGCAAAAGTTAACCGAGCACAGGCTGTACGGCCCAGGCGAATCGCAACAAATGGAAATTCTGTCAGGCCTGAAATCCTTTTATAATGACAAAAGGTTTCCACCTCTAAGCGGATTACAGCAATGGCAACAGAAGCACTTGGAACTCCAGACTCGAGTACCAAATAATACCTCACCTTTGGTATCTTGGCGGCAAATGGGTGGGTCGGTGGAGAAGAGAAGGGGGTGGAATCTTAGAAAGGCCTTCTAATTAGTGGGGGTTGGAACTGTAAAGAAAACTTAAATGGCAGGTGGCAAACATTTTTGCGAAAGTTCTGTTTAAAGATATCTTTTTATAATAAGGATTATTTGGTGATGCCAAGAAAATGTTTAGAAATTAAAATTATTTCTTCTTAAAAAATATTATTGGATGGCCTTTAAAATTGAATTTTGTATATACCTAATTTAAAAAATGTTTTCAGCAACATAATGTAAATAAATATTAGTCAAGCAAATAATATTATTATTTATTTTCAAAAGCTATTAAAACATTTACATTTTTTTTAAATACCGAAAATTTATTGATATCGTTATCGTCGTTTTCCACCTGAGGCATTTATTTTGCAGAATTTTGGTGAAAAAACACCAAGGCAAAAGGTTCGTTTTTGCTCTTAGTTTTCGCTGACAAAAAATCGGTATTTTGTTGAGAACAAAGGAAACAATGGTCGACATATGGAATGTCATACTGCGTTGAGCTCGTAATTAAAATCCCAATCGATTTGCATTCAAACCTGGAAATATTTATTTTTGACAATTTTTGGAAAAAAAACCCTTGTAAAAATTGGTAAAAATTATGTTTTTCTTCATCATTTGTAATGTGGAGGGAATCAATTTATTTGCTGTGTTGGCTACTTAAAACAGTGTATTGTATTTTTGATACTGTTTTTTGGCCAAGTAACAAGAAGATAACATAAGCAAAAATTTATATTTGTACCAAGAATCCGTATACTAATTTTCCTGATTATTTTCTTGGATTTATTATTTTTAATTTAATTTTCCGGACTCACATCTCAACGATCTCCTCGTCGCTGAGATCCTCGGACGTGGCCAAGGGGGGCGTGCCCCTGGGCACAAGGAAGCGCACCTGCGGCATTTGTGGGCTGGGCAGACGGTGGTGGGTGGCCCTTCCAGTTCCCATTCCAGAGAACGAGCGCCATGGGAAGTGGGGCAGCGGGGATTCCGGGGACTCAGGGTCAGACTCCTGATCCCGCAAAATGCTCGACGGATGCCAGAGGGCCAGGTGGTTGGCCAGGTTGGTGACCATGTGCGGATGCGAGGAAGGCACCGCCACGCAGAGGGGGCAAATGACGGGGGTGCGCATCAGGTGGTGCTTCGCCTGGCAGTGGTCCATCAACTGCCCGGCCGACAGACCCACCTTGGAGCACAGCGGACAGGTGAAGCTGTCGGCGCACAGATCCGGAATCGTCCCGCCCCCAAAGTGCAGCTCACGGGCGGCGCGGTCCAGGAGGCACTGGAAGGGGTGACCCCGCTCGTGATCGCCGCCGGTGATTCCGTCCTCGTGGCACTCGGCGCACAGGTCGTAATCCGGGCAGCGCAGGCACTTGAAGCGGTAGAGGAGCAGCCTCGGCGTCCCGCAGCCATCGCAGTTGATGTCCCAGTGGAGCGACATAGCCGAGTCCTGGCGGTCAAGGATCCCCGTCGGCGACTCCTGCGGGAATTTCGTATCATTTAAAGTTCTTACAATTTCAAGGAGACCCCTCTGAAGAAGACCCCTTACACAGTAATTAAAAAAAACGTAATTACAAAAAATAAAATTGTTTTTGACAGCCCATGACTTATATTTTTCGAATTTTTAAATGATTTAATCATTGAAAGATCAACCATTTTTAGGAACCCTCGCCAAAAAAAATTAGTTACACTTGTCTACAAAAAAATGGAAGCTCTCCTTTGAAATATAAGCTAAGTTTAAGTTCGGCTGTAAATTTTACCTTATATTCGAACACTTTTTAATAATAATAATAATAATTTTTGCCAGAAATGGTTTTAGATTTACATTTGTGGACTATTTTTATGTAGATTAAAAATCTAAGAAATTCACAATTTTTAAATTTGCAGACCATTTCATACATTAAACATTTTTTTTTATTTCCTAAATTTGAAATAGTTCTTATTTATTTCTTGGATTTTTATATTAATACCTTAACCTTTTAAAGCAAAATTAGGCAAATATTATTTTACTGTAGTTGAGTATTACCTAATATGTTTGAGTTTATACGCAAATATTATAATTAACACAAAAATTACTTGCAATATATTTTTTCTCTTGCCATTAAAAAATAATTTTATTTAATTTATTAATTAGTTACATAAATCCAGGGCATATTGTAGTCATTGTTATTATTCAAATGGTCTTTATTTTTTGCTGCACAGTGTGGTAGGCCATAGAAGGCCTCATCCGCGTCGAGTCAGATATATGTTTAGCCCCCGAAATCCACTCCCCCGACTCCTTGAAATATATACCGCCTTTCGGCTCGTTTTGGTTTCGTTTGTTCGCGCTTTGTACATAAATTTCATGCAAATTGACTAATTAATTTTTGCGCAATGGATTCTTATCGCATGCACTGGGCAATATATTTGATATTTGCATAATGCACGTGTATTTTGTGCGCCTGGGTGTGTGGTGTGTTGTGTTTTTCAGGTGGGTTCAGTGGAGTTCAGGTGGGTTCAGGTGATGGGCCTAAGGCCAGCCCACGCACTCGCTCTTGCCCCTGGCTGCTACACTGGAAAATATTTGTTATAAGATTTTATCCTAATTTAAAAATATTGAATTTATATTAAAATTATTTATGAATCGGAATAATTTAGATGATGTGGCAATTTTTTGGGATCTGATTTAATCTTTAAGCTATTAATCCGATTTTCCAGTATTAAATTATGTTTTTATTTTTATTTTTTAATTAGTATTATTTTTTAATGTTTGTTGTTAATAATTTTAACATTCAATTTGTTGTTTAAAAATAATGTTAAAATCTTTTAGAACATTCATCACATTTTCTCCCAATTTTTTTACAGTTTATCCGCTGCGGTGCGGTAAAAACAACAACCATTTTAATGACGGATATTAAGCATAACCACACAACTAAACGCAGAGCAAAAGGGGTGGAAGGGGGTACACTGCGGGAAAACGGGGGGCGAAATGTACAATGCTTCCGTGTTTTTCCCGCAGGACAGCGACTGACTTTAAGCCTGCCAAATATGCTGATTGCAGCAATAATGATGATTATGTTTGCGCGGCCTGCATGCGCGGCTCGAATTTGTTGGCCACAGCGGAAGGAAGTCGAAAGCATTGACAATGCCAGCGACACGAAACATGGCCAAAAGGGGTTGGTAGCAGGGGGGGTAGCAGGGGGAGCAGGGGCGCCCCAAGGGGGGACAAGTGCAGCCACAATGCCAACGACAATGACGAGCTGCAAAGGCATTTAACGACTTGCAAATGCCACTGCTCCTGCCACTTGACTACTTGACTACTTGACTGACTGACAAACTGACTAACTGACATCCAACAAATGCGAAAAAGAAACATCCAGCGGGTTGGTAAGCGGCAGCTTATGGAAATATTACAGGACCGCAGGGCGCAAATCAAACTGCTAAATACTCTTTCCCTTAAAAAATGCAATATATTTAAATACCTGAATTGTGAAATCCCATATTCTGTTGGCTAAAATACTTATTAAGTATTTAATGGTATTTAATGTCTAAATTCATTATTAATATTTTAAATATGTTAATAGATGTTTATTTATTTTTATTGCCGCATTAAAAATATAATTTAATACCCTTTAGGAAAGCATTAACACTAAATAATTTTTAAAAAATATTTCACAAAGTATAAACACTATTTAAAAACCCAGAAACTCCACTAGATTTAGGGCATACACTGTGCAACAAAATTATTGCATTGCGTGCATAAACTTTTGCAGGGCCTGCGTATCCGAAACGCAGTTAGTTTTGCCCACCGCTCTTCCGCTTTTCCACATTCACAGCCCACATTCCCGCTTTCCCGGCCCAGCTCGGAAAACCGGCTTTTCTATTCCGGATGAGTCTTTGCCTGTGTGGCCATATTAGCAAAGTGAATTGGTTTTTATTTGTAACGGAAATGTGGAAAATTATTTTCAGCTGTTTGGTCGTTTGCTGATTTGCATAAGTCGCAGGTGACAGTCGTCGCTGTTTTTTCCCAGCCTTGGCTTTCCCCTAGCCCACCCCTGATTTGTTTCTCTGTACTAGTCGCACACACTGAGAGATTACTTTATAAACAACGGAAAAATGCCTTCGGTAAATAGAAATAAAACTGAAAGTGTAAGATATTTTGTAGAATTTTTTCTTTCTATTCAGCAAACAATGTTTTTTTTTTATACCCTTTAAAACAATCGCTTCAGAGGACCTTGAAAAAAATCTGCCGTCCACAGATTTATAGATTTTGTAAAAATGTAAATGCAATTTTGTTTGGCTTATTAAGACCCTCCGAAATGTCGAACAAACTTTTAAAATCGGACCACTCATTAAAAAGTTATGGATAAATAAAGTATTCTCCGCTAGATGGCGCCTTTTGAAGCGACTGCTTGCTTTGCTGCTTGCATATCTCTGTCTCTATCACACTTATTAAGCTGAGTAATGGGTATTTGATAGTTGAGGCAACTCTTCTATGTTTATGTATTTTTCTATATTTCTATATGGTAAAATGTTTATTTTTTCTTCGCTTTTCTCTCACTGCTACTGAGTGGCCCCAAGAATTTAAAGCAGCAGCTGTGGCTTAGTCCGATTTGCCTCTTACCATGCATGCCCAAAGCGGCTTAAGTGAGCGGTGGGAACAGGACCAGGAACCAGGAACCAGCAACCAGTGAATCGGGATGAGACCGGGATGAAAACCCAGAAGGAGGAAGAGCAGGATCAGGAGCAGGAGTCCTCGGACTTGGAGTCCCCTAACAAACTGGCGACGACTGACCGGCGGTGATAAGAATATCCGAGCAGACTTGGAACCTTTTGTCCGCCGGTTATAAACACAAAACACGAGACACTTGAGTGGGGCAGTTTTGGGTTATTTTGTTTACGTCTCGGAGTCGCAATCGAAATGGGTGGGGGACTTATTGGGGCGGAGGGGAAGGAGGGGGCGTGGCAGCGATCGCTGGCGGTGGCGAAAAAAACTGAGAACCTAAGCGGATTTTAGCCATTTGCCATCTTGATGATTGATTCAATGCATGTTTTATTTCGGGTATTTTTTAGGCCATTCGACAGGCGATTTTCGGTATTTTATTTATGGGTATTTATTGACCAGCTTTCGATTTTAAATAGGAAAATATTTAGAAGACGCCCGAAATGTTGTTGAATATTTGATTTAATTTTTTTGCTTATAAGCAAATAAATATCTAATTTACTTTTCGAAACGCTTTCAATCGGTTAGCTTATTCGAATTAGTGTACGAATATCATGAACATTTTATTTTCCTGAAAGTCGTTTAATATTTGCCTCGCAAATATCGAAAAATCATTCAATTCTTAATTCATTTAAACTGGATATTAGTGAAATATTTTTGTCTAATAATATTTTAGTTTTTAGTTTGCTCTAAGTTGATTTATTATTATTGATGCCGACGACTTGTTTCCGTTGTTGAAGTGCCCGCAAAAGATTGGTATTTTGGAATTTAATTCAATTTATTTTTCATTTCAGAGCCCGAGACTCGTGACTTTTGGCCAGAGGTCCTGGGAGAGATGCAGTGGATGGTTTTCCGATTTTCCCCGCCGCCGCCCTCGTCATGAATTTTCCTCCCCCACCTGCCTGCCACAGTTTTCCCTTTGAGCTGTGTCCTCTTTGGGTTTCCGTTGGCTCTGCAGGTTTTTATGCATGTGGCCATTAACTGTCGGCTTTCCCGTTTTAGGGGGGGGAAAGGGGGGTGGGACTACACCCATGTCCGCCTCCTTTCCCCCAAAAGCCTGGGGCGGTCATCAGCATTGCAACATTTGCTGGCTTGACTTGCAGCTGCTCGTGGGAAATCAGTTTAATGGAAATTATAGCATTCGATTACTTCTCAAACTAAGCCTACAGTGCTTCGCTTTTCCGACCAATTTTCCCCTGGTTTCCATCCCACTTAAGTGGCCCGGATTGCGGCTCATCAAGGAAACGGCAAAGGGGCATCAGCCATGAAAATGGGATCTCGGCTCATCGGAGTTTTTGTCAAATGCCTAAAAGTATGCAGCAAAATGGATGAAGGAGGGAGGGAAAAGCCTGGAAAATGCAGCTGGCGTCGGCTTGGAAAATCCTTCTGGCCCCAGCAGGTGAGCGGCATTTCCCCCTGCCATTTGCCATTTAAGTGACAAACCAACGGACATTGCAAACGCCCACAGATAGAAAGTGAATTTCGCACAGCTATAAGTGGAAAAAAGGGGGGGAAATTCGGCAAATGACATTATCTAATCCTATTTTTTTGGGGCGGAGGTGGGCCTGGTAAAAATTAACAAATGCTGAGGGACTTGTCACCACAATCGAAGGGAAACAAACACTTTATAAGTATTTTATATTTTTATATTTTTATATTAAATGATTTAGAATTTAAAGATACATTTTCTGACTTATTTTATCTCATCGCCCTTATTTGGTTTTAGGTTGTTGCTTAAATAAGTACTACAACTCTATTAAATATATTTTTAAGTATATAGGTATAACAATTAACCAAAACATTTTTATTTAAATACCTCCAACCATTTTTTCAAACAACAAAAAGCTATAAGTTATTTATTATAAAAATTGAGGTAGTGTGATAAAAAAACTATTTTCTATATAATAAAACAGAATATTTTAGCAAATTATATTATTAAATCGTACCTAAAATATGTTTCCCTTTTTTTTAGAAATGTTGGCAACCTAAAAAATGAAGATAGATATATTTTTGCAAAAATGAATTAGTACTGTAAGCTTACTAATTTTTTAGGTGAAAAGCAGAGAGTAAATCTGAAAGATGAAAGGTGTGTATTTCCCTCCTTCTTTTGCTCCACTTGTGTTCAACCTGGAACTACGTGATGACCCCATCACCACCTCCGCCACCCCCTTCCCCAAATACATGTGGCTGTGTGAAGGTCACGTGTCCGCACTCCACACCCTCTGGAAAAAACACCGCCCCTTTCGTTGCCTGTCGAATTTCGACAGTGAGTTTAATGAAGTGCAACGAGAACTGCAAGCAATTGAAATGCATTTGGCATTTTGCGGGGGCCGTTGGATGTGGGCAAAAAACAAAAATCTGCACCTGAAGATGCAGTGTTTTCCTTATTTTGCTGCCTTTTTTGTTGGAATTTTCTTTTCGAGTTTTTCCGCTCTGTTTTTGTTGTTGCATCATCAAGGGCCGTTGAACATGCCACACGCATCGCCGAAATAAAAGTAAAGACAAGGGTGGTGCACCCTTTGGCTTTTCTTTTCGCTGCTCCTTGCGGGCAGCGAGGGAAGGCGGGAAAACTGTTCCCACTCTGTTAACAGCGGCTGTTAAGTTTTCCTCGTTTTCCGCTGCCGACTTCGCTGCCGCTGCCTCTGCCGGCGCCTGCGCCTCTCCTGCAAATCGTCCTTCGTGCCTCGCATTTCGCCCATTCGGCTTTCCCTTCGTCTCGCGGTGTTCTAAATATATTTTTTAGACCGCCTGCTTTTGGGATGTGACCCACCAACTGGGTCTCGGCTTTTTGGATTTTTGGGACTCGTCGCATTCAGCGATTTGCAGCGCACAGGAGCAGTTGCACGGGGCGTATGCGCAATATGTGCGTGTGCGTATGCGTGATATTTGGCCATGATAAAAACGACGAAATATGCGAAAATTTGCATAGAGCCGAAAAGGTAAAGTCGACGAGAAGAAATGCTTAGCGTTTGAGTTGCAAATGCACTTGACTCGGAGACTTTGGCAACTTGGCTTCGTTTTGGGTCAACTTGCTCATTACTGCGGCGCTTATGATGATAATTCCTGGCCAGTGAAGGGGATCCATCTGCAAATAGTTGAGCCAGGAGGCCAGGAAGCCATGGTTTCTGGGAATGGGGCTTCAACAAGTTGAAGGAGGAGTCCAAAGGGAAGCCAAAGAGCAGGCGAAGTTCTTCCCGGAATGACTGACTCTCCAGTCAAAGTTAAACTTGGTAATTGTCTGGTGCTTGAATGGTTATGGAACTTTCGAGTTCCTGGAATTTCGGTCGGGCTATCAGATATCCAAGATGGCAAGTTTCCTTAATGAGAGGCAGCTGCGAGGATTCCGAGATTGTAATGTGAGCCAAATTATGGGCCTCAAGTTATTAATTGGGGTTCAATGAGTAATAAATAAATATTTTTAAAAAGCCAAACAATTATTAAAGAATTTTAATAAACTAAAATCCCATAATTTATATTTTTTAAAAGTAACTAAAATGAAAAACATTATCTCTGCATTTATAATATTCGCCGCAGTTTATTTTTCGGGCTTAAGCAAACCGAATAAAATAAAATAAAATGCTGCTAATGAAAAGCAAATAACCGAAAATAAAGCCAAAGGAGCTGAATAAAATAAATACGCGTGCAAATAAATTATAATTATAATAAGTAATAAATAAAAGCAAATACAGCAAGTGGCGATGAGAAGATATGAGATGAAGCTCCGCGCGGCGGTTTCACACGCAATTAACATATTCTCTCTGTTGCATTTAAATTGCTGCATATGGATTACGCGGTGGCTGCTGATCCCACCCACCGAAGGCCGCCCAAGGCCACCCACCAACCCACCCACCGAACCACCCCCTTTGCGCCTTCGCTGGGTCCTTTTTTAATTACTTGTTTTTTGCAGCGCGTTTTTTATTCAATTACTTGTACAAATTGCAAACAGACAAAAAATGAAATGGCGAGCAAAAATGAGCAAGTATTCGGCATTCGACGTTGGGGCATCAGGTGCGCGGATAAATGTTGCAATTTGTATGATAGCCCCCGACCTCTGACCCCCCGACTTCCCTCCGACGTCTCCCCTCTGCCCACCCCCTTTCTCCACACTTCCCCACAGGCGTCACTTTGCAGTCGCATTAAACAATTAACAAGTGTAATTGATAAACAATTAGCGGCATTATGAGCGAGCCACAATGCGAAAAAAGTTATACTCACATATGCAGGCGTATAAACAAAGGAAAATCGAGACGAATGTCAAGGAAACAACAACGCAGCGAGCTATACTCTAAAAAAAAAATGAAAATTGCCTAGAAAATTAATGGATTTATAGGTGAAATAAATAAAATTTAAATTCATACTTACATTTATAGTGAAGCTTTAAAATGATCGATATATTCGATATTTCGATCGGTGTTTTCAAGGAAAAACACTAGTTAAATTTCGAGATATTGCAAACGGTCGATATTTTTTCAAGCTCTACTTTATACATATAAATTCACTATTAGCTTATTAATTTTCAATTTATAAATACTCATTTTTAGTTCCAATGATCTCTTTTTCCAAAAACCCTATGTTAGGGTATACAAAAAATAAAAATAAACAAAAACGTGAAACGTAAAGTATGTGCAGCCCATGTAGTACATATAAAAATGCTTGATAAGGCGAGAATAATTTGTTTATGAAACCAGGCAATTCTCAGAAAACGCTAATGACCACCGCAAACAACAGGAAAAAAAATCATTTGATATATTGACATTATTTTTGGACACCATCACGACGTAATATATTTTTAGTTGTGTGCCCTTTACAAAAGTAGACGATAATGACATCAAACTGGAGTACAATATGGATGATTTAATAATAAAATATTTACAAATAAAACATAAGGGGATCTACAAAAATAAAATAAGTATAAAAGTTGATAACATAAATATATAATAAAATATATTGAAAATAGAATATATTTTATAGAGCGAATAACAGAACTAATTTAAGAAAATGTCAATGGACCCGCTAACTTGGGTGGTAGGGTGCAGCAAAAAAAATCCCCGAAAACTAAAGAATTGCTTAAAAAAATTTCAATGTATAATGACAATTTATAGACGTTTTTCTAGCGGCCAGCCCAAAAACCAGTCGGAGATCGTGTACGTCCCCTCTGTAGATTTAGGAGGGGGGCGGTGGGCTCTCTGTTTGAGGTCTTGAGACCCGCTAAGTGCCGTCTATATAAGCAAACAGCTGGCTATGATCTCCATTTAGTTGTCGTGCCGAGGGAAATCAAATCAGACGAAAATGCGAGCCTCCACATTTTTATTCGGTCTGCTTTTGGTGGCCAGTTGCTCGTCGATTTTGGCCAGGCCGCAGGACAGCAGCAGCACCACCACCACAACCACCACCACTCCGAAGCCGGAGGAGTCGTCCACAACCACCACGACCACGACTACGACTACGGAAAAGCCCAAATCTGAGTCCACAACAGCCAGTACTACCACTAGTAGCACCACCCCCAGTACTACACCCAGCACCACTACCCCCAGCACCACCACTACTAGCACTACTCCCAGCACCACCACCCCTAGCACCACCACCACAACCACCACTACCACCACTCCAAAGCCCGAAGATGATGAGGCCGCCAAGCTCCTGGAGCAATGTGCCGAGCTCAGCCGCCGGAAGAAGCGCGGTGGTTCGTCCTCCTCCGAGGAAGACGACAGTGGCGAGAAGAAGTCCGCGAAGAAAGAGCGCAAGCAGTTGAAGAAGCTGTGCAAGCAGTTGAAGAAGCAGCAGGAGCGCAAGCAGGAGAAGGCCCAGAAATCGGCATTATCCGACTTGGCCGAAGCCCTGCGAAACTACAACCAGAAGCAGAAGAACTAAGGCGCCAGTCTTCCAGTTTTTTAAACATTTTTTTTTTTTGTTTTATATAGTGTATTTTATTTTATTTAACAAAATTGAACCAATAAAAAGGTTATTCTATTGAAGAAAAAATAGTTTTTATTGAATATATTTTTTCGTATTTAATTTAAAAACCTGTCTTTGGGATAATAAATTAAAAAAGAATTTAGTAAAATATTAAAAAAAAAACACAATAAAACTTTATTACCAGAAATAAATTTTCAATTGGTTTCTCTAAAAAAAAAAATCCAAAATTTGAATGCAAAAACTTTTCGTTGATATTATTTATTCTTTTTAATTTATTTTTTTACGCATAGTTTGGCCTATATTTTTGAATATGTATAAAATACATAGCGAAAACTGGAGCAAAAAATCGAATAAAAACTAACCAATTCCAGCTTTCGTTTTTTTTTTTTCAAAGCCAACAAATCAAGCAAAAATGGTAGAAAGTGCAAACAAATTTGATTTGTAATCGATTTTGACTCTATTTGTTTGTACATTAGCACTGCATACGTCAACAAAATCATTCGAAACGTGGACAAGTTTCTGATTCACAATTTGAGCAAGAAGAAAGTTTCTTTTCAGCTTCAATTATTTATCTTAAATATTGGTGTTTTTTTTTTACTTTCAGTGCGAATTGCTGATAAAGCGGTTCTATTGTGTTTTTAATTTGTTATATGTATGTACACCCCAACCTTGGCAAACAAGTATATGATTTATTATTAGTTCTTAAATATTTCCGCTAAGCTCAACCAGAAATGGAATCTGAAAATAATGCCAAACCCGTTTTTTGGTGCCCAACAAGTTTTACGCAGTTACAGCAATTTTTACAAGGGCAATTCGATTGGCTTAAAAAAGTATTAACAATAAAACACACAACTTTTCAGCACAACAAATTAAATAAAAATTTAATTCGACTAGCATAGATCTTCGAAACACGTTTCAGGTTTCTTTTCGTTCTGTTTTTTGTGCATATTCGAACCTCCTTTTCTTTTGGCCAGTTGTGGCTTGAGGTCAATCTGAAAATGCGAGCTGCTGGCCAAGAAAGCAATTTGCATAATCAACATATGAGAAAATCAAGCGCAAAGAGACGTGAATTTTTGGACAGCGGCGAAAATCGAAGAAGAAATATGAATGCTAATTAGTTTGAGCCATTGAACTCTGCCCGACAAGGAGGGGATGTCGGGAAGTGCGGAATTGGCACTAGTTCACTGAAAAATAGAATTTTTAGTATCTTCTCTATAATATGTTTATTTTAAAAACACTTTGAAAGTAAAAAAAAGTATATTTTTTAGTTGACCCAACAATTAAACTACAATGAAAATAATGTATAAAAATATAGTTTCTTTCATTAAATTGAGGGTTCCAAAAGCAATTAAATTAAAATCATTAAAATGTTCATAAAGGTGTCTAAAAGTATGCAACAATTTCGTTTCATACAATAACTTTATCATTTCACTTTTTTAAGTTATTTCTGTGATTTAAGAAAAAGAAAATCAATTCGCTAGGAATTAATATTTGAATATTTTTTTTAATAGTGCTATAAAAGTTAAATCCCCCCTTACTTTTTTTTTAAATTTAAATGCCATTCTCTTTATTTTTGTTCAGTGTACTCCCTAACAAAATGGGTCGCCCCTGGCCCCATTCTCCGGCTGACACGCTTTGAACCCGCAGACTTAATTATGCAAAAATCCCAGGGCGAAAGAGGCCGAGCTGAGATTCTGAATTCTGGTGCCGAGGTGCCGTTAGCCAAGAAAGTTGATATAACCCGGGATCGCTTATGGGAAGGCGATTCAGTCGATCGAGAGGCGAACAAGAGCTAAGATAATGATGTGCGGCAAGGGATTCGGGATGATCCTGGTCCTGTTCTGGGCCACGGCCCTTTCCAGCGACCTTTCGCTGGTGAGCGGTAAATTTTTTTTCCACCTCTTCTTTTAGTAGAAGGGAAGTAACAATTTTTTTTGTTTGTGTTTTTTTCCTGACAAAGGTCAAACGGTGGCGCCGCTGACGAGCTCCACGAGTGCACCGCCCAAAATGGAGGTCAAGCCCACGAAGCCCATGATTGTGAATGCTCCGCCAAAGAAGCAGCAGCAAATGCAGCAGATGCAACCCATCATGGAACCCGCGAAGCTGAATGGCAGCAAACCCCTCCAGGTCACCGGTTTCATAACCAAATCGGGAAATATCTACGAGATCGAGGACAAGCGCGGCTCCATTGGCTCGATTGAGGGTCGCCAGGCGGCCGAGGATAATCAGCAGATTGTCTGCAACTACGGCAACGTGGTCATCTACAGCGATGTGCCCTGCGACAAGGTCAAGAATGTGCGAGTGGGCGAGGTGAAGCCGCTGAAGGAGGATCCGCTGGAGGCCACCACCGAGAAGAACGGAGCAGCGGAGGGCAGCGAGCAGCAGGAGCAGCAGGAAGTGGCCGAGCAGGAGGATCAGAATCAGGAGGATCAGGATCAGGAGCAGCAGCAGCCCAATCATCCCCGGGGTCAGGGGTCACAGAACAATCGCCGCCGGCGGCGACGTCGCCCCCAGCAGCAGCAACAGCAGCAGAGGTTGCAGCAGCAGCGTCGCCGACGACAGCAGCAACAGAAGTTGCAGCAACGCCGCCGCAATGGCAACGGCAACAACAACATGCGACGTCGTCGCAATGGCAATGGCAACCGCAACAACAACAACAAGAACCGCCAGCAGCAGAGACGTCGTCGCCCCAACAACAACAACAACAGGCGACGCATCAACAACAACGGCCAGCGACAGCAGCAACATCGCCGCCAGCAGCAGCAGCAACAGCGTCGCCGTCCCAACAGCAACATCAATCGGCAGCAGCAACAGCGACGTCGCCTTCGCGAAGGCAATAACTGAATGGGTTAAGGAAAGCTAGGGTTAAAGCCGCCTACACTACGACCTCTGAGCCCCAGAAGACCCCCCTCCCCCCCAGAATAAAGCAACAAACAAACAAACAAATAAAGAAAATAAACGAAAGCAACAAACAAACGAAAGCCCCAAATGGAATATTCACTTTGAGTTGGTCTTTTTGGTCTTTCTGGGGAATCAACACGGGGCAGTAATTAAAACAAGTGCAGTCCACGGCGAGAAAGAGATGGCTAGCTAGGGGCGGTTAGAGGGAGACGGCTGGAGACAGCTTAAGAGTAGGAGAAAGAGAGGGGGAGAGAGAAGATAACCTTAAATTTAACCTCAAGGCGGTACAAAAGGCCCCATTTTAAGGTACGAAAATAATATAACATTAAATTAATTAATTGCTGGTTCAAACATCAAAAAAAGTCTAAAAATACCATTTTTGAAATAATTTATAATCCCCATTTCCAGACCTAATAAATCAGTTTCTTAGTGCCAGCAAGTTCCAAATGCGAAATACCATATATTCTTGATATCGTATTTAAATTCCCAATCGATTTATATATTTGGTTTTTTTTCCGCTAAAATCATGACTAATAATCCATAATTGCGTATTTTAGATTTAGGATCCAGTTTCGTCCAGTTGTGGGTCAAAATTCTAAAACAATATTTAACTTTTTAACAAAAATCTAGATTGTGATTTTTAACACAACAATTTTAGTATTCTTACTGAAATAAAGTTCAAAATAAAATACTAATTTTTCCTGAAGGTGATTAATTTATTTTAATTCCACTAAATTATTACAGTATTTAATCTCCATCTTGTAACCTGTGCTTCCTGCTCTTTTTCATATATATAAATTCATCGGTATTTAACCCCTGTTAACAAGCTTCCAAAATCCACCCTTCCCCCAACGAAAGTTCCTTATTTGAATCACTCTCGCCTGAGAACGATCAAAGTGAATGCAATTTGTTTGAATTTGGTAGCCGACTTTGTTTTCGGCGTTGCCGGCTTGTCACTTTAATTGTAACTAGATTTTCGACTCGACTGTGCACCCACACACTCCGCTGCATTCAGATATATATAAGCGGATATATATATAAATATATAGGGTTTTTTTCTTAGGGAGGAGGGGTAAAAATTGAGGGGTCGCTTGGGGCTGCGATGTCAACGTCAGCATCAGTTACACGAAGAAATTTGCGCGCTTGGGCCCAGCGCACTTAACACATAAAACAAACAACAACACGGGGGCGGCGAGGGTGTGCCAGTGCAGGAGGGGGCGTGGCATGGGGCGGGGGGGTAGGGTGTGCAAGAGTGCTGCGAGCCAAGCGCGCCAAGAAAGTCATTCAAAAGTCAACCAACTTTCTTTTGAAACACGTTAAAGAGCAGCAGCGAAAAAAAATCCAGTACACAAAACGAGGGGGGTTAAAGAATGGTTGATAGCAGGAGGGGGGTGGAAGAGGGGGTTCCAGTGGGGATGGCGGTTAGGGAGCGGACTATGACATCGCCCCCAACCAACTGCTGTTGCTGATTTTCCTTTGTTGTTTGCATGCACACAGCGAGCGGAGAAAAGATGGCTGCACTTGCCGGCTTGCGTACTTACACTGGGCGAAAATAGGGTCTTACGAGCTTTAGACATTTTTAAAAAATCATAATGGTACACTTTTGACACACAATATAAAATAACAATAATAAAACTTTAATAAACTATTAATTAAACGTTGAATTATTTAAGAAATCTAGAAATATTTTTTGTAACTAAAAAATAATTTTTTCTTTTACTTAAATATTAAAATTTTTTAATTACCTAGTAGATTGGTGAGAAAACTAAATGAAAACCCTACGATTATAAAAGGAAAAATACAAGTTTTTATCAACATACAATTTTTTTCCTTTTTACTGATATTTAATTAGCCATCAAAAATATGTTCTAAAAAACCGTTTAATTGCCCCTTAAATTTTTCTTCTGCAGGTGTTTTCTTTGCCATTGCCTCTTAATTTTTTCGAGTGCAGCCGCCTTCAAGCAGAGGGTTGCCATCTCTCCAAGGAGCCATCAAAATGTGACGTTGTCGCCGCCGTTGTTGCTGTTGTTTCAGTTGTTGTTGTTGCTGTTGCTGGTGGGTATCGTTGTCATGCGTTGAGCCTGCAAGTTTATCACCTCATTGTTCTTGCACGCCCCTGTCTTCGCACCCCTTCCGCCGCCCCTGCCCCCCTGCTTTTGCCCCCCAGCCACGCCCCCCGTGTCCTTATGGCTGTTGCTGTTTTGTGGTTTTATCGCTGACTGTGGCAGTTGAGCGAACGAACCGCAGCTGCAACTGCAGTAACTGCCGCTGCTGCTGCAACGGCAACAGCAACAGCAACAGCAGCAGCAACATCAACAGCAGCAACAACCGCCGCAGAATGCCAGGGGCGGCATTTCAAGGGGGTTATTGCGGTGGCCGAGGACAATGGCCAAGTCATAAACGGCGACTGCAGGAGGCATTTAAGAACCGCGTCGTCGTGGTCAACGGCAAAAACAATTTTCGGTCAATTAACATTGATCAGGCGCGAGTGGCGCCCCCAGTTGGTCAATCAAGAAGTTGTCAGGCACTTCGGGAAGAGGGTTTTCCTTACGATGAAGCTCGGTCCCTAAGTTATTAAAAGCCAGAAAGTATGGTCTCTTTTGGGCATATCTTTAAATAAGAATTATGGTATTGAAAAATAGCTCTATAAAGTAATCATAAGAAGAATTTTTCAAAAAATAATAGTTATTTATAGAAAAACACATAGGAAGCTGCTTGTTTTTGCAACATATTGAACAATAAGCACATTTCATTAAAATGATTGCATTGTTTGCTGCAACATTGAAGCAATGATCGAATTTCGCATAATTAAGAACGATGGAAATTACACAATTTTGTTATATTTCGCAGTAATTAGATTTGATAATACACAAAAACGACACCGAAAAACAGTTATTAACTCATTTTAATAAATACAATAAAATTGCTTAGGCAACTCTGCCTAGTCACTTGGCTCGTTGCAGGCCAGGGTTGCCATCAGCATGTCTGAGTGCGTCTTGTTGCACTATTTTTTTGCCCGTCTTCCCCAACAGACATTTCTCATTAGCCCAGTCATCGGGTCTTTCCGCTTCATTCTTATTTTTCGGTGCTCGACAATGGCCAAAAGGAGCAGCCAGCGGGCAGCGGCCAGGGTTGACCCCCCATCCACCATCCATTTGGGGCCAAAGTGAGTTGCAACTAATTTCAGTTTAATTTGTGTCAGACTTCGCAGGCGTCTGCGTCTGCTCTTCCGCCTTCTTTATTTTCGCACTTGGCCCGGTTACTTATTATCCCTGAGCGACGTGTAAATGCTGCTAATGACGACGTCAAAAGAAAGAAGCCGCCATCAGCAGGATACAAAAGGCTCTTCCTCCAGCCAGGCAACCCGCGGACACCCCGGCCTTAACGAGTTCCGTGTTTAATTTGGCGGATTTATTATTTTAATTTGCGCGCATTTCACATTTCGCGTTTCACGTCTCGCCGCTTTGAGTTTCGATTTCGATTCGCCGCTGAGACGACCTTCGACCCTGGCACACGGCCTGAAAACCCTAAAACAGGGTTGCCAAAGCCGCTCACATTCACAAGCCAAAAGTGCTTAGTTCAATATTAATTACCAGCAGACACAGGATATTTTTGCCTCAGTCAAAATGTGTGTACTTAGTGGGCTGGTGCACTTGGAAAAACGGGAGGATCTTTGAAAATCAAATCATAACATATTTTGGAAATATTAATTGAAAATTATTTAGTAAAGAAAATTTATTAATTTAAATAAGCAACTACAAAACACATAAATATTATTTTGATTATTTTTGACCCACTTTTTCTCCCAGTGCAGTGGCCTGCCATTATAAACATAACAGTATAAATATCCATTTTCGGGACCACCCGAGGGCTTTCCCTGCTGAAGTAAAAACCTGGCCAAGATTTTTGCCAGGCGATTTAAATAATTGACAGATTTTTGTGCGACGAGCGCCGTTGGCCATCTTTGTTTGTATAGTCTGGGAGCTGGGTTTTTGGTGCCACGCCCCCTTCAGTCCCTCCGCCCCTGGAAATCAGCGGGGGGTCAATTGAACGGTTTTATCCTCGTCTAGTGGCCCAAAAAAACCATCAGTCGCTTTTGTTCATTGCGACTGTTAAACTGTTTTATCTTTATGCGATTATGTCTGCTGGTCTGTCCACCGACCACGCCCCCCAGGGCACTATACGACCACCCACCACCCACCACCCACTGCCCCCTAATGCGTGTGCGTGGCCCAAAAGAGAAGGACGGAGCAACTCTTTGCCCAAAGGATTTGTGTTTAACAAAGTTAAGTAGAAGACGTGCTCAGGCACGTTTCCCCAGCAGCAGCAGCACCACCCACTGGAAAATCCACCACCCACTGGAAAACCCCCTTTGGTTCTACATTTGTGCGCCGTCAATATTAGTGGCTGCCACTCGAAACTTTGCACAATGGCATTCGGGATATTTGAAAAACTGACAGATTCATTGGCGAGCCAGAAAAAGTGGGCGGAAATGTGGGAATGAAAACCGGGGGGAAAACCCAAAATCGGGAAAGGAAAACCGCCAAAATGGCAGTCAGATTTAATAAAAAATTCCATTCACTTCTATTAAATCAAATACTTCCTTTTTTTTCAATATGTAATATAACGAAGAATTTATTAACTTGCTGCAATGTTGATTTGCTAAATTTATAAAAACAATTAGAGTGGAAAGAAATTGCATGCAAAAACACTGATGAGGTCATTATCCAAGAAATCAGCATTTGCAAGTTGTTGACTTATTATATTATTGTAATTTTAAACAGTGTTAATCAAGTTGTTTGCAGCCTTTAACCAATTTTTAAATGGAACGGAGGTACTACTACAGATATGAAATGAATGCCCAACTAAAGGAGCTTCAAAACAAAAGTGAAATCCAAATTCTGGCGCTAGAGAACCAACTATCGGCCTTTCAGAAAACCCTTCTCGAAACCCTTTCCACAATCAATAACAAGATCATCCCTCCGAAGTTCGAGCTTATTTTATCTAGATATTTTTATATCGAACATGATTATAAGAAAACCTGGGATGAGGCTGCAGAAGCATGTCGTGGAACGGGCGGCTATTTGGCGGCTTTTAAAACCCAAGAGGAACTGGCAGCCATAATGCAGAAACTCAAGAAACGGGTTTGGTACTGGACTGGCGTTAGGCATTCGAAGGAAGGTGGCAAGTTCATATCTACGGCCTCCGGGAAGCCTGCTACCGTTTTTAAGTGGTTCGAAGGAGAGCCCAGAAATGACGGTGCATGCGTTTTTCTAGATGACTTGGGGATGCGTGATCTCAATTGCAGCTCTGAACGTAGTTTTATTTGCCAATTAGATAACGAAACATAAAGAGACGTAATGTAAGTTGTAAGCTGTATATTTCTTAGAAAATGACTCATACGTATGTGTTGATTAAAATGATTAAAATATATCAAATTATAATGGTCGCATAAAATTCGAAATGAAATTGTAAAAAGTACTTGTATCAATAAAGTGTTTAAAAACTTAACAAAACTTGGTATGATCTGCTTTCCCTTTTTATTTTATTAGCCAAGCAGATCATGATTAAAGAAATTATGGGTCTTTAAGACTTGCGCTCGGATAATTACAATAGGAAATAAATTATATTCTCCTGCAGTATTCAGTAAATTATAAATTATAAGTAAGTAGGCATGCGGGGATCCACGGTGATATGGGTTATAGATCATCCCCCACTCGGGTGAAAAATGAAAGCAATTTTGGTATTCAAAAAGTATGTAACAAACAAAAAATCTATTATTAACTTCCTATTTGTATATGCCTAGCTACTCAATGGGTTAGATCTCTTTAAAAAATTTGCTAAGGCCACTTAAAAAGCGATCCCCATTCTCCCAATAAAACCCTTACTTTCACTTCAAATTTATTAACCATCTCGGTTGGATCTCTTTCCATTTCATTGCCAACTGTCTGGCTGAGAAATAAAATATTTTGTGCTAATTTTGTCACGGCCTCCCTTTTGGTTTTTCCCCCTCCCCACCCTCCAGCTTTTCCATTTCCCAATTTCCCCTTTGATTCGTTGCCATTCGGAGGCAACAACTTTTTGTCAGTTGTTTTAACTTGGCCTCGGGACAGGAAAATGGGGTGGAGGAGTTTTCTTTGCTGCCGAAGAAGTCGGAAAATAAGTGGGTTAAGGGGTTGCAAAAGGGGTAAAAGGGGCGGCCAAAAGGGGGTGAAAAGTGGGAGGGGGAGACTTTTGTGTTATCAGCAGTCAGTTAGTAGCGCAAAACTTTTTAAACGTTTTCGAAACAAGTTGAAATTTAAATAAACCTTTCCAATTTTTTGACGATGCCATTAACTCTGAGCAGTTTAGTTCTCCCGTCCCTTTCGCTCCGCTCTCCCTTTATGTCCGTCTCTTTCCAGCTGACTTTCGCTATCTCCTTCGTATGACTCGCAGACCTTAGACAACAAAATCGCCAGAGAAATGAAACTTTGTGTGTAATTTTGGGCAAATAAAAAATGTGAGGAAAAAAAACAAAAGCAACTGCAACTTTGCGAAGAGTTCTGGGCTGAAAAAAACCCCCCCTTAAGCTTGCTTAAAAAGCATCCTAAAAACCTGCAACATAAAATCGACTTAAATTTTTATTGCCGAAAAAAAAGCCTTTGGGCAAAAGTAAAATCGCCAAAATCGCCTTATGGCCTTACATTTTTAACCCACCATAGTTCAAGCTTCTTAACCCACAGCTGCCCAATACAGGGAGCTCTCTTACAAGTAAACAATAGGCTTTATAAACAAAAATATAAATAATATTTTAAATATATAAAATATTCCTATTTAACTCATTAAGAAAATATCTTCATTTTGTATAGTTCACTTTGTAAGGGGTTCACTTTATTTATATACTTTCTAATTTTTTCGCACTGCCCTTCAAATAACTAGAGCATCTGGCCAAGAAGAAGCAATAGTTGGCCAAGAAGAATTAAAGGGGGCAAGAAACAGAGAAATAAGACGACAAGGGGTATGGAAAAAGAAGAGAAGATGCAGCCAAAAAGCGGTTCAAAAAGTGCCAACAAAATAATAAAAAGCAAACTTTTTACCAAGTTGACTTTGACACATTGGGCCAAACACAAACACACGGCCGCAAACACACAGACGTTGGAAGGAAAGAGACAGACGAGCAGCGGCAAGAAAGAGACGGCTAGCGGTGGCGCGAAAGAGACGGGGCGAGGTGCCAAGTGCCTGCAAGCATGAAAATGCCCGAAAAATAAGTGCAACAGAATATTTATTTGCCTGGCATCAGGCAAAATGAAAGTGGACATAAAGAACTTGTGAAATATTTACTCTAAAATGCATATTGCTTATATTGCCATCTACTTTTGAATCAGGCTGCCCGAAAGCGAAGGAAACGAGGGGCATTTAATATATTTTTAATAAAACTATTACTCAATTGAATAGCTGCAATTGCAATACAAACAAATAAGACTAATAAATTCATATTTTATTTCTTCACTTACAGCAATTAAATCCACACTGAACAAAAAATTATCAGAAGAAACTAAAATATTCGTACATTAATTCTCATTACAATCGAGGACTGAAGAGGTCAAATTATTACTAAATCTACTTCATTATATCTTTGATGTTCTAATGAAGCAGCAATAAATTAAATATTTTGAAAAAACTATCCAGCACTTAAATAGTTTCACTTGAAATCCAAACATCCTAATAAATTCATACAATTTTTTATTTCTTCAGTATCAGCAACTAAATATTTTTATTATAATCACAGAATTAAAGGAATATATACTTAATCGAATTATTTAAATCTTGGATACATTAGTAAAGCAGGAAAGAATTAAAAAATTTAGTTTTATATTTCTTATAATTTAAATTTAAACTAAATAATAGATTTATTCCAAAAAATAATCTGCCTGCCACAGAAGGTCTCCGCTTGCCCCATTAATTTGCCTTATCCGGGGGCACGTGTAATTAACATCAGCTCGTTGGCCAAACTAATAAGCCAAGTAAAAAAGCCGAGCAGAAGAACAAGTCCAAGCGAAGTGAGATTAATGGATTTAATCGCGAAAAATCTGTGATAAGCTCGCGGATAAATGGTGGCTCATTAGAAGCAGTGTGGCCCAATAAAAAAAAACTGGAACTGCAAATTCTGGAGCTATAAAAGTCTGCCAAGGGCCGCCAACGACTCACAGTTTTTCACGAGTAGCAGCAAGACCAAGTATCGAAATGCAGCCAACGCCTACGAAGAAGATGAGGAGCTATCGGCTGCTCCTGTTGGCCACCATCCTTCTGGCCACCTCCTTTAATTTGGCCAACTCGGCGCCGCAACAGGCGGCCATTCCGCTGACGTGGCGGGATCTAATTGGGGCCTTGAACTTCCCGGAGTCGCAGGAGGGGAAACCGCAGCCGCAGGAGACTCCCGAGCCGCGTGACCTGCAGCAGCTGCTCCTGCTGACCAGCGGCCTGAGTCCCAGCCAGATTGCCCAGCGGAGCAGCGGCCAGGGCAGGAACTTCAGAGTCCCTCAAACCACCCTCATCGTGATCAACGGCACCGGCGGCAGCAGCGCCACTCCAGCCAATATCACCAACAACAACACCAACACTGTGGTGGCCAACAACACCACTCCGGCGACCACAACGACGACGGGCACTCGAACCTCGGAGTTCATCCGGGCGCCAATTGGCTATCCGGCCGGACTGCCGATGCAGTATTTCCGGAAGCGACAGGACGACGGATCATCGCCGGCCATTTCCTACCCAGAGCTCTTTGGCTGGAACCCGGAGGCGGCCTTCTACGGGGGGGATTTGTCTGGTTACGGGGGTGGCTTAGCCACCTACCCCTATGCCGGTCTGGGTGGCCTCAACGGGGGCTACAGTCCGCTGGCCGGGGTGCCCCTGGTGCCCATCACCGTGGGCAACGAGGTGCGCTATGTGCCGCTCAATCTACGCATGTTCCGCCAGTTGGCCAGGAGTCCGGCTCCTCTGCCCGCTGTCCGGGAGCAGGAGGATCAGCTGGAGGAGGACGACATCGCCGGCTTTGGCCTGGCCCCCGAACTGGAGGTGGAGGTGGAGCCGGAGGAGGAGGGGGAGCAGGAGCAGGAGCAGGCCGGTCACTCGACAGGCGGCGGCTCGCCGGGCTACGGCCTCCTCGGCCAGCGGATGAGGCCGCGTCCCTTGGTCCGCCGGCGACCTCTGCAGTCGCTGGCCCAGAATATTCGTCGGGTGCAGTACCTCAGGCGGTGAAATTCGCAGGAGAGCAACTGGAATGGCAAACACGGAACCCCTAGACCTAAACCCTTTTTTTTTGTACCATTAACTAAATAAAAAGCATTTTTAAAAATAATCTACAATTATTAAAGAGTGAGTTTATTTCTTTCTCATAATTTCTACACAGAAATAAATTGACAAAAGATCAGATGAAATGTGCTGGTTAATTTTATATTTTTTAAAAATCAAGTTATTTATATCATTTTGATCAGAATAAAGATTTTGTTAATCTTCTTTGGTATTTTGGGATTTTATATGATATGATAAAATCATAAACATGACATAATTCATATTGGCTTTTTATTGATATGAAATAAGGTAAAATTTATCTTATTTTCTATCGAATTGTTTTTTCTGTGTATTTTCTTTATACAAATTTATAAAACTTTATGGACCTTCAGTAATTTATTTTGCTTTTGTATAAAAACAGAAAACCACATCTTATTGTAAGAAATAGGTTATTTTTAGCCCTATCAAAAATCTACTTTATGGTTCCAAAAAACTTTATGCAAAAACACTGATATGAAGTGGCAATCAAGCACTGAAATACATTGAGCAAGAAACCTCTAAACTTTGTGATAAGAACTTCATAAGAACTTTATATAAATTTGTAATTTTAATCAGTGCTGCCGCAAGTTGTTGACAGCCTAATTCCCATAATCACCAATTTTTAAGGTTTCCCAATTTTCAAGAAGGCAAATCACTTTCAGTACGTTCTAAAAGTTCTCTTCGCAAAGTTGTACCAAATTATAATGCTGAGCACCGTGCCTTTCGTGATCGTCCTGACTTTCTTGGGACAGTTGAGCGCCGACCAGGATAATGGTTCTTTAATCTCCGAAACGCATTCCACAATGCATAACCAGAAGATCATCCCACCGAAGTTCGAGCTAATTGGGTCCAGATATTTTTATATCGAATTAAGTAGTCCGGAAACCTGGGATAAGTCCGCAGAAATATGTCGTGGAATGGGCGGCTATTTGGCGGCTTTCAAAACTCAAGAGGAAATCGCAGCCATAACGCCGAAACTTTATTATATTGTCTGGTTCTGGACTGGCATAAAGCATTCGAAGGAAGATGGAAAGTTCATATCTACGGCCTCCGGGAAGCCTGCTACCGTGTTTAAGTGGAGGGAGGGAGAGCCGAGCAATAGCGGTGATTGCGTTTATCTTGGGGACTTGGGGATGGGTGTTTTCAATTGTAGTGATACAAGTTATTTTATTTGCCAATCGGATAATGAAACATAAGTAGACGTAATGTCAGTTGTAATTCCTTTGTTATATTCTTATTAAAATGCCTTAGCAAATACAAATGATTAAAATCAATTAAAAATAATGGTCGTAAAAATGTTAAATAAAATTGTACAAAATTGTAAAAGTTTAATAAATTTCCTAAACATAGTATGAGCTGCTGCCTCTTGCCTTTAAATGGTCGGCTGTTTCGGTGCTTTGGAATCTAATGGAAACTTGAAAAATAATATTTGTCTTTTGGACTGGCATTAATGAAAAAACCAATCATATTGTAATTTGTAAGTTCCAATAATTATTGAAAGATTAATTTCTAATATATTTTTTTTTAACTTCCTTACTCACTTACTAACTTGTGCTTCCTAAGTTACTGATTCTGTATTTTTTCATAACTCTCTGAAATGCAATCTCTGCCTAGGGACCAACTTTAATTGGAATCAATTGCACTGACAGTCCAATTATCCAAACTATACTGAGTCATCGGGAGTTGTTAAATATCCCGTGTATATCACGGCTGTGCTACAAATAATATACTTAAAACAAATATTAAACCTGTTACTAAATAAATCGATTTTTGACTATATATTAAATTTAATTTCGAAAATTTCAATTTAAAACTATTTTGTTCGATTTTTATTATTATTTCTACATAAATAATATAACACTTGAATCCCATTAGAACTGAACCGTTTAATAATTTCCATATTTAAAATAGCACTATTATTTTGAAGCCGTTTGTGTTAAGGAGAAAAATGCGAGAAAATGCAGAACTCTTTTCGCGAAACTCCTCATCGCTGCGCTGGCCCAATAATATTAAGTTGATAAGTTTTTCCATTGGCCGGAAGGAAAACTTTTCAATTTGTGAGCAGAGTTTCGCTTATTGGCCATAAACATTTTACATGAGCGCGGGTAGAGAAAGTTTTCCGAGTGCGGAGGGCTATGAAATAGATGCGCCAACTGGATCAATTTTAATTTGCTACCAAGACAATTCAATCAGTCAAAAATATGGACCTTTCTGGGGGCGAATGTTCTGTCAAATTATCTGGCAAATGTTTGCGGAGCAAAAGGAGAAAATGCCAAATGGCAAAATTTTGCCCAATTTCTGTGCGTGCGTGTGTGGGTGTGTGTGTGTCTGTCTAATTGATGGCAACATTCTGGGCTCTCGACTGTCGGGAACTCAATAATAATAACAGATAGCTGAGGACCTACCACCGCCCACATTTAGCCGAGACACAATGGCAAATTAAATAAATATAAGAAGCTTTTAAGTTAATAGAAAATTCTATAATTGAATTTTATGTCAAACATCGGCTGCTGGCTTCCCACTTCTGAGGGCCTCCGACACTCGAAGATATTTAATCAGAAATGCAAGCAAAATAATAACCGAAGATGGAATTCCTTCGGTTCAGAATAAAATAAAATACACAAAAACACAAGGGCCAATTTAAATTATTGATTGGCCGGGCAGAATAAATGGAATTTCAGCAATGCAAAAAACGGGGGAAAAATTGAAAATTATGATTGATTCGTAGATTTTTAATTTCCCCCATCAACATTGTATTGAAATAGCTTCTTTGGTTATTTTACTGGACACATATTTTGCATATTTTATCAATTTATATTCAAGGCATTTTAATTAGTTATCTATATTTATTTTAGTAAGTTTCAAGGTTGCCTGTATTCCAAGTAAGGCTTAAAAAATAGTATAATATTTTGAAACTATATATTTTTACTTGTATAAAAATCATTGGAGAATCAGCAATTGTATTTGAAAGCTGCCTAAACCTTTTGTCGAATTTCCAGCTCGAACTTCCACTTGACCACAAGTGTTACAGTAGAAATAATAACGATAATAGTAAATACAAAGTTGGAGGGAATGTCGAGCTATTGACACAACACTCGGGATGATTGCGGAGAAGCATTTTGCCAGACGACGGGTGTTAAAGCTGAGGGCGAAGGAAATAGCACCGACACACGTAGACAAGTATCTTTATATTTTGTATCTTGTATCTTGTGCTCTGTGCTCTGTATTCTGTATTGTGTATTCTGTATCTTTTGGCTGTCAGAAAGCTCGGCGTGTGCGTGCTGGCGAGAGTTTTGCGGGAAACACTTTTCAAGATTAAAACAAAAAGATTTAAGTGAATTATGCCAAAGTTATTTGCCTGCTGGTGCGGCTCACGCACTCGACACTATCCTTCGAGAAAGCCACATTATGCCACAGATACTGGTCGTGTAATATAAATATGTACAGGCAAATAAATTCAGTACAATGGATTTCAAAAAAATAGTGATAGATAAAGCGAAAACAAAAATATTTTATATTCATTATACCAAAATTAGCATTTACCGTTTTATTTAATTATTTTTGTTTTATTTCCTGTTCCAATTGTTTTTGCAAATATTCTATTCTTTTCAAATAAATTCAGCAGATTAAATTAAAAAAAATAGTGGTCAATAAAATGAAAAAAAACGTAATTATACCTATAAAAAAAAATTTATAACAAAAAAATTGACACTTAATTGTTTATTTTTATTTTATTTCCTGTCCAAAAATATATCTCAAATTTTTCTATCAACTTTCCAGTACGACTGAGTTTGAAAAAAAATGGGGTTTCTAAACAGAAAAAAAATTATTAGATATTTATAATAACAAAATTACCATTTACTTATTTAATTTTATTTTACTTCCTATTAAAAAATATTTCTTTAATTTTTCTATACACCTATCAATTTGAACATGTCTGTAATTTTGGGGCGGGCGGACATGAGTTCGTTTATTTATTTATACAGCCCGGAATATCTTTGCCCTCGAGTTTTTCCCCTTTGGCCAGTGCAGATTTATGCGAACGCATGTTTATTGTCGAGTTTATTAGATTTGATTTACTGCCCGGTGGTCGGAGAGATCTCGGCTTGTCTGGGCGTCTCACCCGGAGATACTTTCGCCATCAAGAGCCAAGACAGGCGACTTCCCGTTCTCGGCCGCCCAATAATTGCATGTCATCGAGGGCATCACATCACGCAAGATGTGTCACTCCCTTTCCTGAGACGGGTGAAATTTTTAATTGCACTGCCTGCCATTAGAACGGTGCTATAAGAACGGAGGTCTGCGATCCGACGGCGAACACTGCCCAAGGAACTCCGACGCCATGCAGATAACCCACAGCCTATCCGCACTTCTGGTCGTCTTTCTGGCGATTTTGGGCCACTGCGAGTCGCGGAGGAGCGGTAAGTTGCGATACACTCGCTAGCAAGTTTTTTGGTTTTTTGGTCAATTTTTTGCTCAATTTATTTTATGCGAATTATTTAAAATAATTTCTTTGTATTGTAAAACTATGTGCATAAAATTCTAAAAATTCATAGAAGTTAAAAATGAAAAAAATATGTTAATAAAAATTGTATACAGTTATCAAACATTTCATTCTTAAAAAATATTTTAAAAAAACGCGGGGATATATTTCTTTTGAGTGTGCATAAGATTGAGATTATAGAAACAACAAAAAAAAACCAAATAAATAGGTACAACGTTAATTTAAAATTCTATATAGTTATGAAACATTTCATTCTTAAGAATATAAGAAAAAGTGTGGTTATATTTGCTTTAAACGTACTTAATAAAAAATACTTAGGGCATAAAATTCTTAAAATTATGTAGCACAAATTTAAATGAATAAATAAAAAATTGTATCTTAAAAAAACAAAGAAAAATAGTGGTTAAATTTGTTTTCAGTGTACTTAAAAAAAGACACCTTTGTTCTAAGAAAAAAAAAATGGGGAAGAAGCTATTTACAATTTAAGTAAAAATCGTTCCAGGGATTTCTTATAATTATGATTATAATTATATTATTATTATCTAATAAATTTCCTCACTTCAGCCTACCGCCTTCCTAAGGCTCAGGGACGCAGTGCCGCCGGCACTCCCTCGCCACAGGATGTGGGCTCTGGCCGGGATCTGATGAAGAAGTTCATGCTGATGCGGGGCCTCTTCCAGCAGCCGCCCAGTGACAATGTGATCGTGATCACACAGCCCTCGACCACGACGACGACGACCACACCCACTGGTTCGCCCACCACAACGACCTCGACGACGACCACAACCACCCCGACGACCAATAGTACGGGTCGATCGTTCCGCGAAAATATCCCTCAAATGGAGCCACAGGTCATCGAAGACGATGATGAGGAGGGGCAGGATTTACCTGTGACCATGACCATGACTGGTCGAGCTCTCGAGGACCGCCTCGATCTGCCAGAGGTGCAGGGGGAGGAGGAGGAGGAGCAGAAGCCCCAGTGGCCCAAGAAATTCCGCCTGAAGGCCGCACTCAGTGGAAAGCGGAACCTGGTGAAGAAGACCCATCGACGGGTGCACAAGCATCCGCAGAAGAAGAAGCGCCAGCAGAAGCGGAAGGTCAACAAGAAGCAGAAAAAGGTCAACAGCCAGCAGCGCAACTCGGAGTCCGCCGCGGTCAGCTTTATCGAGCCCTATCACCACGATGGCCAGCCGAATGGTCCACCTGGCCAGTCCGCCTCCGACTCGCGATTGCAGCGCATCTGGCGACGCTTCCAGATCGCCAACTAAATCAAATAATTTACATACATTTTTTTTTCTATTTTTTTAAGTGCAAAATTTAATTAAAGTCTAACTACAAGCAATAGCAAAAAATAGCCAGTGAATCATGGGTTTATTTTATATTTAGTTCATGGGTGAATAACAAATACGATATGTTATCAATGGAATTTAAAATAAATGAAAAAATTTACTTTTCTACCTTTCTTTACAAGGTTTTTTATTAACCTAATTAATCTGATATTTTTAAAGCATACCTACATATTAAATTCCCCTGCATTTCCCTCCAACTAAATTTCAGCGACATTTTCGTCCAGCTCTTCAGGTGAAAAGCCGAGAACAAAGGAGAGCCGGCGAATAATTGAATATCTTGAAGAGGTTTTAAATTTCATTTTGCCATATTTTATGGCAAATTGGGCAAGAACAAAAGGTACATTTGTCCACAGATATATAAATGTGTGTGTGAATGCGGGTATTTCATACATATACAAACGTTTGACCCTGAAACTTTTCGCGCGCGGCACGTAAAACAAAATGGTGCGACTTGAAAAATCCTTTTCCCTCCTTTTGCGAGCTTCTCGAGAACAATTGATAAGCGGGGGCAAAAAGGTTTGGATTAGGCCAAGTCAACGACTTGCCGCACAATTTTATATAAATAAATAAAAAAGAAAAGAAAAGGGCACCAGGGGCCAGACGAAATATGGCAACATGATATCCTGCCGCCGACTGTGGCAAGTTCAAGGATATCTGGCCCGCCCATGAACCATGAAAATAAAGCGTGAACCGGACCCGAAAACCGACTCAAAGGACTGTGACGAGTGCACAAAAAAAAAAGGTGAAGAGGGAAAAAATAATGGGCAAAATAAAAATTTACAAAAGATACGTATTTATATTTTAAAGACAAATAAATTGTATTATATAAAAACAAACACATAAAATAATATCCACGGAAATAAAAATATATATATAACAGAGATAGCAATTATTTATTTATTTATTAATTTTTGTACTCATTTAAAAGTCTAAAATGTTCTCAGTGCATTGTGCTTTGTTCATTTCTCCGCTTTCTCCCATCGCCTGTGTTTATTTTTTCAATACCCGAAATTTGTGCAAATTGGCAAATTACGCATAAATAGCGAAGAGAAACAGCCGTCTTCAGGGGAATTGAACCTTTGGCGCTGTCGGGTTCTCAGAAATTTATCTACAGATCTCGGGATTTGAGGGGAAGGCGAACCGGTTTCCACCGATTAATTAACTTGGCTCGGAGGTCAGACAAGATCAGCTCCGTCAAAATAACAGACAAGATCTTCGGCTGGCTGAATGATTTAAGGTAAATGATTGGGTGGCTAGATAAAGAAAGCAGCATTTTAGCGAGGCCAAAAGGTCAAAGAGGTTAAAGAAAGCTCTGGAAAGGTGTAATTTAAATGTATTTCAATTTAAAGGCATTTATTGTAGGTGTCTAATAATATTTTTTAAATTGTTATTTACTGAAATATAAAGTATGAATATTACAAAGTTATCAACAAAAATTATTATTTTTAATTTATTTTTAAACTAACAACCAATTATTTTGTAGTTTTTAGGTAAAATTTAAAATAATTTTTAAACGAGTTGACGACTAGATTTAATAATTATAATTACGTCAATTTACAATTTAAACATACCCACATATATAAAATAATAATAAAATATAAATAAATATTTTCCGTGAATGTAATTAAGTAGAGTGACTAGTGTATTAATTTAAAAGACTTGTCTTCTGGCACTAGGATAAGAAGAACAATAATTTAAAAAATGCCAAAACTCTAATTGCGACCGTAAGTGATACGCTTCCGATTGCTCGGATCGGTTGGTAGGGAAATAGCCATCTAATTGCCAATTAATGCGGCATTTTCCTTGGGATCCGCGGCACAAAGTCATCCTGGATGCCCAATCCCCAACTCGATGCCCTCGGATTTCGGATTTCGAATTCCGGATTTCAGACTTCGGATTGCGGGAAGGTCTCGAGTGGCGGGCCAAAATCAAAATCAATACGTCGAGTCGTCGTCATGGCTTCTGCCTTCCTACATGTTACTTCACCTTCGACCCCGATTCGCCCCGCCCCCTTTTCTTCTTTTTTCCCCCCTTTTTTTATTTTGCGGGGAAAAGGATATTGAAAAAGGCGCCGCTCGGGGAAACTTTTTTCATTTTTAGTTTGTCAAGTTGGCACAAAAGGGCGGCGACGACGCCAACTTCAAGTTTTCCTCTATAAAAAGGCGCGGGGATTGCGGGGGAAATTCCAACTTAACATTTGCACGCTTAAAATGCCCAAAAAAGCGGAGAAAGCCAAGGATAAAGGGGCGGACCGAGTGCTAAAGTTGGTCCTAACTCCGGCCGCCCCTCTGGGCCACGCCCCCTTGACCCGCCGCCTTTGTGCCGACAACTTCAGTGCACTTTCCCTGCTTTTCCCCCCTCTCCACCTTCTTACTGCAGTCTCTTGCGACGCTTTTCCCCTTTCCCTTCTTTTCAACTAACTCTTTGCTCGTTGGCCAAAATACATTGCCTACTTTTTGGCCGTAGCTTCTTGGGCGTCTGGCGCCACCTAGCGGCAGCCATAGGCAAATTCGGTCTTTTACAGTGCTCGCTGGCTAAAAAGTTCCATATCTTGCATTGATATAACTGCCAAATGTTAGAGCAAATAAAATAAATAAATATAATTGTGAATATTATTAATTTAACATATTTTCGGCTTTCTAAAATTTCTAACTGTCGCTGGAAGGCAGTTTAAATTTTGATTCGCCTCGTTATGAATTTACGAAATGCCAAATCATACACACACACACAGATCGGTATAAATAATGCACGAGTGCGACAAAAATGGGCGATTTGCAGAGGGTTTGGCGTCAGGTGGCAGGTGGCAATACAAAAGCAATTGTATAATTGCATTTTAATATGATGACTGCTGCATTTTCACTGCCCGCAGCATCAGCAACTGCAGTGGCAGCCGTAGCAGTAGTAATAGGCAGCAACAAATCAGCAGAATTCCGCAAAGGCAAATTAATGAAACCAGGGCGAGAATGTAATGTTATATTATGCAGCCTGGACAGCCCACTTATTTCGGTGACTCTTCACAATAAATAATAAAAATGTGGAACGGCCAGCCAAAGTTATTAAAACTAAAAGGCAAATATATAATTTGGATACATTAGATCATAAATATTTCAAAAATATTCTTACCTACTTACTTAAGCTGCCCTTCATACGATGTGACATAAAAAATGTACCTCGATGGATGGGATAAAATCGAATTTGCTTCAAATTCCCAGTTTGAACTGTTTTCACTAAAAAATTCCCTGACGCAAGGATTCTGAGAAAATAAGGACCTCAAAGTTGGGAAAAATCTGAAATCAGACAACTTATGAGGGGTATTACAGGCAAACTGATTTTTCTGATCTTTCGAACCCCATACATAGAATAATTTTAAGATTTTTTTAGAAAGAATTATAAATCAAAATCTTTAGGTCCGTTTAAATTAAAAGTTCAAATTTAAGATTCAAAGACAAAAAAATTGTATGGCATCCAACAAGGTAAATAAATAAAGCATTCATTTTGTAACACAGTGTAATCAACTTGCCATGAAAATTATTTGTACATCTTGGACGAAAATGCGCCTGGAATTGAACTTATAATCTCCTGAACTATGGCCAAAATGCATTATGGCCGAAACGATTCGGCTTGGCTAAGCATGGCCACAAATTATTCGAAACTTACAAAAATGAATGGCAAAGTGTTTTAATTAAATGGCAATTGCAGGGCAGCCAACAAAGTGTGCATATTTCGTCATTCGACCAGGCCCAAAAGCGATTCGAGTGCCTGGGAGTATTTATAATGCCAGGGCGCTTTTGATTACGAGTCTGGATTGCCATTGGGCGGTGGGTTGCCATTGGTGAGCAAATGCTCCATGTCTAAATTAATGCCAGCAATTAAAATGCTTAACACTCGTTCAGGGGCACCCAACCCGATCAACTCACTCGGTTGGTAAGTATCTCGAGAATCCAATTGCAGACATATGTCTGAGCACATATGTGCCTGTGTATCTTTGTATCTGCGGCTGCTGCAGTATCCTGCAGGACGAGCTGCCTGTCGACAGCTTGCGGCCATTGTAAGTAGCTGCGGTGGACCCAGTGCCTTCGAAATGCATTTTCCAGATCGCAGGAGCACTCCTTGAGCTGCGAGCTTCCAAGTCCTCAGTCCTCAGTTTAGAGTCCTCAGTGCGTCCTTCGTCCTTCGGCCAGTGTCCCAGGTCCAGAGTCGGCAATCTGCATCATTGTATTGTCCGAATCTGGTCAAATGTTGACCAAGGCACACGCCTTTGTTGCCGTTCCCATTGTTCCCAACACAGCCGCACAGTGGAGCGCATCTATTTAAATCGAATTCATATTTATTAAAATAATAAATATTTAAAAAATAAATAATTTATCAGACCTATAATAAATTTGTTATTCAATAATTATCATGGAAAACTTGAAGTGGATCGTGGAAATTTCACAAAGTTTAGTTTTGTGTTCCTGTGTAATTAACATTTACATATATTTTATATATTTTTGATGTATTTTTTATTTCACTTAATAATTATCCAGAAATGTAAAATTAATTTGGACATAAAGTAATATAAAGTAATAAATGCTATTTTTTTTAGTTACATTTTATTTGTAAAACATTTTATAAAAATATTTGTTTAGCTGTATTCATGCATATAATTAGTTTCTCAACCTTGATATTTAAAATATAAAATATCAATAAATATTTTAATTTATTTAAATTTGTGTCCTTTTTTTCCACACTCCAGCTCTGTCTTAATGGCATTATTCAGGCTTGCTTTTTGGAATAAAGCCCCACTGTTGTATGGCCAACTAATGCCGATAATTATAGTGCTGATGATGCATTGAAAATCTGGCCCAGAACCCCTCTTGCCCGGCCAAAGCAATCGAGCTGACTGATGCGCTCAACTAATTCAAGAAGTAAAAGCCAGG